TTTTTTGGTTTGCTTACAAAGTATTGTCTGAGTAAGTATGGCAGTATCATGCAATCCATACTAGCACAGTCTCAGTCAGATGCTGAAATAATTGGTCCAGAGGCTGCAAGAGCCGTAAGCAGAGAAATGCCTGTGGAACTTTTACGTGCTAGTCTTCCACATACAGATGAGCACCAAAGGAAACTGTTGTTAAATTTTGCTCAGCGGTCCATGCCTGTTACTGGATTCAATGCTCATGGTGGAAGCAGTGGACATATAAATCCTGAATCTGTAAGCTGTTAGCCGAGATGGTAAGATTTCATAATATTAAGTGCAGTTGTACATCCGTAGTTCTCAAGGTTACTTTCTGTCTTCTCTTTGCCAGAACATGTTGTCCTGCTTCAGCATCAGTCTAGGAGAATATAGAAGGCTGGAAGCAAGGGTATATGCATATATGTTAGGCGTCGTTTTAATGCCTAAAGTTCCTCTTCCTCCTAATCCAACTTTTTTGTTTCCCCCTTTTTCGTTCCGCCATTTTCTTTCCCTTTTTCTTTTCCCTCTTTCCCTCCTTTTTTTCTACTTTTCTTTTGCTTCATTGAAGGAAAAGATGGTTTTCGTTATTCCTTTCCTTCTTTGTGATGATCATCTTGTCTTACATAACTGTGTATTATGTCTGAAAGAAATGGGGTTATTGGTCACTCTTTAAGTTTCTTCATCCAAAGAGCTGTATTTTTTATGCTCTTTCTGTAAACTCGGATAAAAGCTGGAAGGATAGGATGTCCATGTGATTTGTGGAGTTAGGGAACTCTTGCACTTGCTCCCTCTGCTTTCATGAGGGTGGTAAAAAGGATTTATTCAAGCTGAAGTAATATTGCTGGCTCGCAGGTGAGAAGGGTTCATCTCTGCAGTTTCAGTAGGAAATCTTTGCTACACTTGAAACTTTCAAAGTGAAAACTGTAATAATTAGATATTCTTGTGCATTAACAATTTACTCGATTACATTTCCCGTGATTGTTTACAAAGCTTAGTTTATAATTTGCCATCAGTTCCCTTTACGTCTTATTGTTTGGAGTAAATGGGCTGTTTAGTATGGACCAACCTATGCCTATCTCCACTGCCCTGTTGGGGGGCAAATCTTGCTCATTGTGCGTGCGCGTGCCATGGTGTGTATGATACAAGCAGCTGCATGCCAATGTGAGTACAAGTAGCAAGTTTGGAGCAAGGCATCATTCCCCATCCCCCCTCCCCTCCTTTGATAATGGTAGCACTTAGATAATTTTATCGGTTGCTTGTTACCTTTAATCATCACACGTACCGAGTTACTCTGTCCAAAGTTATGTTGACGGGAAGAAATATTTTAGCGTTTTTTTTCTTCAGTTAGAATTTGATCTCTGGTCTTTCATGTTTCCTCTGATGCACGCTCTGTCCAAAGCTTCACTGTCAGCTTACATCGATGGGATGAAATCTTGTAGCGTTTTTTTTTTCCAGTTGGGATTTGATCTTTGTTCTTTCATGTTTCCTCTGATGCACGTGTCGATTTTTTTCCGATTTAGACAAATATTATGTGGTACGCTCACTGTTCCAAATGCCGAGGAAGGCATTGTTTAGCTAATTTACACATGAAATTGCACCGTAACATAAGATGGCCTCTTGACATTTTTCTTGTGAATATCACATTATAGTGAATCAACGTATGGAGTTAACTAGCCTATCGTAGGTGATAATAGCTTTTTACATGTGACTATCTTCTTTCAGTTAGATTACTTCTCACAATGATAGCTGACAAGTCTGCTCCCCTAATGTTCCCAAAATTTCAGGTTACATTGGGATGTGATTTTACCTCCTCCTAGTTGAGGAGCTTTATATTAATCCTTTGCCTAGTGTTGATTAGTTTCGATCTCAGTAGCTACTGTACTTCTAGACTAATTTATTGGTTTGATTCCTAATTCTGAGGTCGTCTTTTAAAACATATAAAGATAAGTTTTAACGATTTTTTATTCACTTTCATAAATTTAACAATTTATTAAATTTACAACATTTTAATAATTTTATTTAACAAACATCGATTAACGATACCAAAATACTAAATTCTACTTATTTGTTAAATTTTATAATTAACAAACTCTAAAATAAACTAGATTAATACTTCTTTAATATAATAATTCTGGAACTATGAAAATATGCAAAAGTAAAACAAATAACGATAAATAAAAAGCAAGTGTTTGGTCAACCACGAGAAAGAGTCAAGTAATAATAGTTTAAAAGATTTCAAATAAACAAGTGTGAAATTGTGATAGAAGAATATATATACATTTAAATAAATGGTATAAGATCTTAGGCATTGGGTGTCTATAGCAGTACTTTCGAGTGGTTTTTATTCATTATATATACATTATTGTAGTAGAATTTTCGCTAAGAGAATTCCGAATCTAAAGAAATAAATAGCTAAAAGAATTCAATGTCCATTATATATATATATATATGTAGACAATAAAATCGCATCAAGAAAATAAAATTAAGATCGAAAAATATTGCAATAATTTTATAGTTTTTGATTTCGAATAATATGAGTGTACAATCTCTATGAATCCCTTGATTCTTCTTTCCAATAGTAAATAAACTCAAGGGCATTTGAGCTTCATCTTGAATCTATATTTGTTGCCACGAACAATGATCTTGAATTCAACTAACACGATCTTTAATTTAAACTCGTACTCCTTGGATCTTGATTTATTCTTCGTTCTTGAGCTTAAACTTGATTTCTTAAACTTGATTACTTGAAGCCTGAAACTTGTAGAGAAATTTACGGCGTTTGATCCACGAGCTATCTCTTGCTTCTTGTTATGACTTTTGGTCTCTTTTCTGAGTTATGAAGACCCCTATTTATAATTGTGAAAGAGAAGAGTTGTAATTTGAATAAACTCTTTCCGATCAATCAGATTGAAGCGGGACAAGGCCACATTTGATTGGCCGGAACATGTCACTTGCACATGTGGCGCAATTTCATTGGCCTTTTAATTTGACTTGGCAAGCCATATTGTTTTTGACACGTGACATGATCCTATTGGCTCTTCCATTTGACTTGGCATGCCACGTCATTTGACACATGACACCAAATTGGGCCTCCAAGGAGATGACATATTGGGCATAATAAAGAGAAATCATCATTTGTAGTGCAACTAAATGGACTAGCCCAGTCAATATTTATTGAACTTAAGTAATTAAACCAATTATATTAGCCTATAATATTTATTTGAACTAATATATTTAAAATATTATCCAAACTATTTTATTAAATTTAAATTCAATAAATTTTTTATGCCTACAAATTTCTCCTAAGACTTGTCGGGGTGTAAACATTAGAGACGAGGCTTCGAAGTACGAATTTATTTGGCAGTACTTTATCCGTGTGGTTGCTTGAGGGACATTATTACCTCAGAGCTTATGGGCTTACACAATTCATTGAGTATTGCTTCTTAAGTACTCCCTCAGGTCCAAATAAGTGATTTTTTGGCTTTTTTTTTGTTGTCCAAAATAAGCGATTTTTTCATATTTCAAGAATGAATTAATTATTTTTTTCCTATATTGTACTTGGAGTAATTAATGTTGGAGTATGTGTAAGGAGTATTTATGTGAAGAGACAATAAAGGTTAATATAGTCAATTTCATTGCTAATTAATATTAAAAGTTAAATTTCTTAATATGTGTGAAAACAACAAAAAAACTCACTTATTTTGAACACGAGAGAGTAACTTTTAACTCATGAATAAACTAATTTAAATCAAATGGCTCCTTATGGTCAAAATTCTTTCACGAGTGGCATGAGATATTACATTGGAAATTGAACCTTCCAGTATCATTATATTCCATCCACTTAATTGCAAATTTGCTTTCCCCAATTCCCTGTTAAAGGAACACGTATGCAATATTTTCTAAAGGCAAAATATAGAAGTAAAAGCTCACTTTGACTGGTTAATGTTACCCGCATAGTCTCAATCCTCCAGAATACGTCTTTGCATAATTGATCCCACATTAAATCTTTCAGTAGCAGCCTTTCGTAGCTTATAAATAGCTGCATGCCCTTCCTTTGTCGATCATCAATTTACGGTGTTAGCAAATTTTTTGACTCGGGCTTAAGCGACTCAGAAGAATTGGCACGAAGGTAAATTTACCTTCTTTCCTTGGCCCTTTTTTTACACTTCTTGTCTTTTCTCCTTTTTTTTTAGGTCAAACGAGAAGAATATATTTTTGTTTAACGAAACAATCTACAATCTATACATGAAAAAGGTAATCTACAATCTATACATGAAAAAGGTAATCTCAGGGGTGTAAAGGAGTGGATATTCATCCCTGCCCAAAAAATGAAGGCATAACTCAAGGTGTATGATCATGCCCAACTAAGTCTTATAAAAAGAACAAAGCGGTCGTTGCAAATATAATTCGATTTACAAGTCCGGAGTCAAATCCCACAGAGAATTAAGGCTTAACCACAATTGTTCAATATCGCTAAGAAATACAAGTCCAAACAATTTCCTAATTATAAAGATTATAATATTTATTTTTACCTAATTAACTAACAACTACTGTAAAGCAGTAAAACTATCAATTAACAAGGATAAGAATTGTAGACAAGATTAAGGAGGTCTAGAGTTATGATTTTCCCTATTGTCGGAATCATTTCCGCTACGTCTTCTATAAATTTGTCTAAGTTTTCTCTACCGATCATGAGCGCCCTGAGTGTTGTAATTCTCTCCCGAGTAACTACCATAATTTACTAGACATATTCTCCTGAATTATGCTAGCTGGCATTAAGTACGGTTCACTCGGATCACACCAAAGTTTCGTTATCTCTAATCCCACCTTTAAACCCTCCGAATTGATCCCTCATATACGTTAGGAGTGATATTCAACAACTACCTAAATATGCACTCTCTCCCGAGTAATACACACTAAATAGGCACGGTCGGTTGAGAGCTCTTCAACCAACCACAATATAAACATATTTGAACAATTAGAGAAAATACTACAACAAATCTATATTAATATAACAGGAAATTCATCTTCCAATAGGTTCCATCAAAACCCTAGATAACAAATTAGCTATTCATAATAGTATGCATAACTACAATACTAGAATTCATAACCAATAATGGAAATAGGAAGAATGAAGTGAAAAACTCGTAGAAGAATTCTCCGTCTTGCTCCTAGTGTGTTCTTGCCTCCTTAGGTCGAATCCCCTCCCAAATCTGTCCAATCTCAATCTCTCTTCTCGGTCTCCACGGCGGCTCCGTGCTCTCCCTAGGTCTAAAGTCTGTCAAAACCGACGTTTTTAGGTCTATTTATATGTGTAGGCCAAGTCGTAGTCAAATCAGGAGATGAAATAAGCCTTCAAAACGCAGACTGCACCTGGGACCAGGCCTGGCGCCGCCAGCCTAACGCCAGCCTCAGTCTGGCCTCGCCAGGCTAAAGCCTGGTTCAGCCTGGCCTCGCCAGGTTAAAGCCTAGTTCAGCCTGGCTTTTGGCTGCCCTCGCTAGGCTAAAGCCTGATTGAGTTGGCCTTTACCTGGCCTCTCTTTCTTACTACTCTCGAGCACACTTTCAGCGTTTAAGTATCCCTTTTGCTCTGCTTTCATCTTCAATTCATCTACACATAAAATAGACTCTGTTACACAGAAATAAAGTGTAATTTATCATTAAAGCATGTAACATGCAAGGCACATAATGTACGAATCTATGGAATTATAGCCACACATCAATACCCCACACTTAAATATTGCTCGTCCTCGAGCAATCAAACTGCACTTATAGACACAATCTTGAGCACTTTGTTTTCACACAATTGAGGCACACCACACCAATGACCATGATTTATAGCAATAATTAAACTCTGTCATATGCAATCACATACACTTCCCTTTTCTTATGCCATATTCCATGAATATCCACAACAAAGATAACAAGCTCCTAACAATCCTAGCCTCAAAAACCAACTCAATGTCACAATGCACTCATGGCTTGAACACCCAACATCATAGAGAGAAGTCTAATAATGTTACCTATCCCTCATGAAATCATGTGCTATCACCACAAGAATAAGAGAGTAAGTTGAATCCACATATTCAAATCAAATGCTCAAATATATTTTAAGGACTCATATATATCAAAGAATATTACTCACTCTCACAAAAGAAGTCACATGCATGCAATTGATACCATGGGCTTGCCCATAATGTAAATCTCTACTGATGTAAGCTCACCCGATCTAAAATCAATTAGAACTTTTTCAAGATTGTAATGTGGGCTAAGGAACGGGTAGAATATATTTAGGAATAGTGGTTCACCCTCCTAAGCACTTTACACATCACTTAATAATCTTTATGCGCAAATTCCTCAATCCCCTTCAAATTCACAAACAAAATCATCCCTAATAATGTTCCTTTCTTCTTTAAGCACTACTTTAATTCATACTCACTGGCAAGAACAAGACAACAATTTATTAATTGTCACACCCCTTTTTTAAACAAACCTCACCAAACCCTCTTAAAATTAATAAAAGATTTAGTAAAGCTTGAAAAAAGTTTTCCAATTAGAACGTGAAAAAAATTGTATTTAAAAGGAAAATAACTCAGAGTCTCCACCTGACGTTTGATTTCAGTGTGTCAGGTCACCGTTTTTCTAAAAATAATAATTTTCCTTTCAAAACACTTTGAACTATAAAACCAAGACTACACCAGAGATTAAGGTAAGGGGGTTCATTTGACTCGGGGAGAAGGTGTTAGACACTCCCCAAGTCCCGTAACTAGTAGGGTTGTGTACTTGAGCTAGTCGGCTTTCAGAATATTCGAATTGAGATAAAAAACAAACACAGAAAAGAAAAACAGACACACAAGAGGTTCGAGGTCATTCCCACCTAATAAAAGGAAAATAAAACTAAAACTAAAAATACTACGAGTTCCACTCTAGGCCTCCAAATACAAGTACTGCGGGGCATTCCCCGGAATAAAATATATACAAGTCCTTCGGGGCATCCCCCAAATAAATTTAATTAGGGGAACGACCTCTTGCCTCGCAATTAACAAACAAAATCCTAAAGTTTGCCTACCCGAGTGTGGTCGGCCTAAACATGCTCCTAACGAATAATAATAAAACGAGAACAAGTAAATAAGAGAAAGGCTAAAAGAAATTCAACTCGGGGTCGTGTTCTTTTAACTTATCATTTTCATGTATTTAGGTCAAGCCCAATTCCTAAATAAGTAAGCAAATTACATTAATGGGCTAGTCTTTTCCCTATCCCCATGACCCCTGCTCATCCAAAGAAGCGCGCAAATAATGATAAACATGGACAAACAACTGAATAGCAAGAATATAGACATACGTTCAAATCAGAAAATAAAATATCTAAATTGGCAGTCTTCTAGCAGGCATAGAACAAAGTGGTCAAACTAAGGAGCAACAGGAGATAAGATAAAGCAAGGATTGGTGTATTCAAAATATGATTGAGAGCATGTATCCCTTAACCCCACTGTTACTCAATTCCCTCACAAAAAGCAGCCATTCATAGGTTCGAAATCACCCGCTCTTATTATCTTCACGATAAATCAACCACCACCAACAACTTTTCACTTAACTATCATAATAAAACATGACACAGACTTTAGAAGGAAACAACCATGTATCTCATTCTTTATGACAGTGGAATGGGGACATCCAACAGAACACTCAAATTCACTAATACCTGGACACGCTTGAGCTATGAGTTTCAATTCCATCAGTTATAACTAATAACAAGTTCAACAACGAGACTACTGAGAATGCGATCAAACTTGACTGACATAGGAACTTGAATGACAAACTGACCTTTTAAAGTAACTATCAAACTAGCAACCGTGAAGATTACCATGTTGGAGTCAAAATCAACTCGAGCTAGGTTGCGAACCAATGGTTACACTCCATCAAACTTTCATTTTATCTTCGAACTCAAACAAGAATTGCTAACTGATTTTTGGATTTGAGAATTAGTCATTCAAACACATAGAATTCCTATCTAAGCGATTAACATTCTACATGAAACTGAAATGCCAATACCAATCTTCTACGAGCCTTTTGACACAAGAATTAAACGTTGGATATTCTGTATATTCACAATTTGGATGCCAACTCGAGAAACAGAAGACAGAACCAAACTAATCAAAACGTCGACTAAGGACGCCGATAGATTTAAGTCAGGAAAAGAAGGTTATCATATGCAATTATCACTCAATCATTGAGGAAGAATAGGGAAGGAGGTTATACAGATTGCGACATCAGAGAAGTCATGATAGAATGATGAACTAATCTAGCACAAACTACTGGGATTGACTCGATTAAGATTCAAGGATTTGTATAATTTTAGAAACTAAGCGAAACTAACCAAGCCAATAACAGACAGAGAACATCAGAGATTAGTTTCAGAAACTCATTTCAACATGTAAACTCAGCCAAACCAAGCAGAAATATTCAAGAAAATGACAAGCAATGATATGACGATCACGCACTCTCATTAACAGTCGCAAAACAATCTGAGTTTCATTTGTTAATCTCCAAAAATAATGACGGATCAAACAATCTATAAGCCGATCAAACCCCGACCCTCATCATGCCGAAAATCAACAGAAAATAAGTAGAAAAGGGAGAAAGATGAACCTGAAATTGCTTTCGATTAACAAATAAAATACAGCCGTAACACGAACAAAGATGAAATGGCAGTCACGGTCAGAACTCGAACAATGAGCAACAATAGCGACGGACTTCACTCAAACGAACTCCATTTTTGCAAGATAAATCCGAAAATCGAAAAGCCAGGAAACAGAAGTGTTTTCAGTACCTCTTTTTCTGATTTTTTAAAAATGGAAAACCAAACTTGAACAAAAAACCAAGCTCAAGCTATCTTTTTTGATCTATAATTTTGTTGACTTTTGAAGTAAACGAAGTAGTAAAAACCAAAAGAAGGTCTCTCGAGTTCAAAATTAAACCCGAGTTTTTCCTCAACTTCTCTCCAAATTTTCCGTGAACCCCCTTTCTCTGTCCGAAAATCCCAAATATATAGGGATCCTAGAAGCTTCATTTTGCTTCTTTTCCAAGAAATTCCAAAATTATCCCCAAAATAACGTCAAAACTGAAAACTCCCGAAAACTTTTCATTAAAACAAAAATCGAAAAAATGGAAGGCGTGGATCCGTTTTCGCTCACATCCGACCGCTCCAATTTATCCGAGATTTGTCCAAGAAAGCTAAAGCGCGTGAGAGGGATGACGGATTCGATTTGGGCGAAATCATTAGAGAATATTCTGAGTTTGTTATCATTGCTACGTGAAGGAAGGAGAAGATGAGAGAGGGGACCATGGGGGACCAGGGAAGGAGAAGATGAGAGAGGGACCATGGGGGGACCAGGGCGTACGTGGGACGCCGGGCTTTGCAATTTTCGGCGGGTTTAGGGTGGCTGGGACGAGGCATAGATGGAGATGGGGGTTGGGTGCGGCTGAAGTTTGTATTTTTATGTTTAGGGTTAGATTTAGGAATTATTAGGTTTTTATGTTATGGTGGGGAGGAATAGGGGCTGTTGGATCTAGGGGTTTGGACGGCTAAGATTAAAGGGTAAAATGGGGCAGGTGACGGGTCAATCCGGCGGGTATTAAGCTTAGTTTGGGGTTGTCCGATTTTGGGCTTCCTCTTGTGTAAAATGGAGCTTCAAATTTGTACTTTTTCAATTCTTAAAGTACATTAAATAACAAATTCAATCTTCTAAACTAAAACTAAACTAATTCCAATTAATTAAATAAACTATATGATAATATGAAACTGTATATTTTTTAATATATCATGTTTTATATAGATTAAAAAAAGAAGAGTGAAAATCATAGTAAAAACAAAATATATGGCTATAAAAATATTAATAACCTAAACTAAATAGAAATAAGATAAAACATAAAACTATATATATATATTTATTATTTTATTTTTATTTTTTCAAGGATTATACTAAAAATAAAAATATAAAAACCATGGCAAACTTAGCATAATACTACTATAAAAATACTAATGAACTTAAATAAATAAAAATAAAAGCAAACATATATAATAAGATAAGTTGAAACCTTTTTTTTTCTATTTTTTTTAATTTTATGATTGGAAATTAAAAATAAAAATAGGCTAAAATTACTTAATAACTCAAGTAGATATTTTAAAACATAAAAATACTAAAACTAACTTTAAAACTGTGCGAGTCAAAAATTACATGTCTACAGCTGCCCCTCTTTGACGGGAAATACGAAGTGTTTTCAGGCAAAGAACAACAAGACATATTTTTTTTTACCCGACCCTTGTTTAGAGAGACAAAAATTGAAAGAAAAGAGAATGTGACCGAGCCCTGGTATCTGAGCTGCCTACATATCCTTGGCTATAAAGGAATCATGCCACATGTAGTTCGGAGTGAGAAGAGCGATGAAGTATACCAAGGTGGAGAGCCGAGTGAAGTGCCGTCGAGGTTCCGGTGCGCGGTTCCTGCCATTACATCAAAAATAAAAGAGAAATATTACAGCAAAAGTAAAAGAAAAATGCAAGATCCTATCTACTTCTTGTCTTGAATCTTCTGTGAATCTCTACTTGATCTTCAATATGCAACTGAAAAATGGACCCTGTTCTTCTGGCGGGCTCCTGATGCTTCTTGAATTTGCGAATTGAAGTAACTCTGAAATGAATTCCTTCGTTCTCCAGGTGGGCGCCTGCCAATAGCTTGACTTTGGTATAAAATGAGTTTCCTCGTTATCCAGGTGGGTGCCTGATTGCCAACAACTTGAAATTGTATTCCCTCGTTATCCAGGTAGGCTCCTGATTACCAAAACTCGAAACTGTATTCCCTCGTTATCCAGGTGGGCGCCTGATTACCAAAACTCGAAACTGTATTCCCTCGTTATCCAGGTGGGCGCCTGATTACCAAAACTCGAAATTGTATTCCCTCGTTATCTAGGTGGGTGCCTGATTACCAAAAACTCGAACTGTATTCCCTCGTTATCCAGGTGGGCGCCTGATTGCCAAAACAATCAAAACAAAAGAAATTTTCTACCCCAGTTTGGGATCAAGGCATATTTGTGATTGTTAATCGGATCATGTTACCTATAGAGCTCTAAGAATTTAAAAGCTAAATCCTATTATTCAGGAGGGACCTGAAAACTTTGAATTAAATCTCATCTTAAGAGTGATAACTTTAAAGCTAAATTATATTTTCTAAAGGGAGAACTTACTCTAAAACTTAAAATTAAATCCCATTATCCAGGAGGGTCCTAAAAATTTTAAATTAAATCCCATTATCTAGGAGGGTCCTAAAAGTTTTAAATTAAATCCCATTATCCAGGAGGGTCCTGAGAATTTAAAAACTAAATTCCATTATCCAGGAGGGCCCTGAAAATTTAAAAATTAAATCCCATTATCTAGGAGGGTCCTGAAAATTTTAAATTAAATCCATTATCCAGGAGGGTCCTGAAAATTTAAAAACTAAATCCCATTATCCAGGAGGGTCCTAAAAATTTTAAATTAAATCCCATTATCCAGGAGGGTCCTGAGAATTTTAAAACTAAATTCCATTGTCCAGGAGGGTCCTGAAAATTTTAAAACTAAATCCCATTATTCAGGAGGGTCCTGAGAATTTTAAAACTAAATTCCATTGTCCAGGAGGGTCCTGAAAATTTTAAAACTAAATCCCATTATTCAGGAGGGTCCTGAGAATTTTAAAACTAAATTCCATTGTCCAGGAGGGTCCTGAAAATTTTAAAACTAAATCCCATTATTCAGGAGGGTCCTGAGAATTTTAAAACTAAATTCCATTGTCCAGGAGGGTCCTGAAAATTTTAAAACTAAATCCCATTATTCAGGAGGGTCCTGAGAATTTTAAAACTAAATTCCATTGTCCAGGAGGGTCCTGAAAATTTTAAAACTAAATCCCATTATTCAGGAGGGTCCTGAGAATTTTAAAACTAAATTCCATTGTCCAGGAGGGTCCTGAAAATTTAGAAACTAAATCGCATTATCCAGGAGGGTCCTAAAAATTTTAAATTAAATCCCATTATCCAGGAGGGTCCTGAGAATTTTAAAACTAAATTCCATT